CATAGATTTATTATAAATAAATAAACATTTTCGATGTTGTTCATCATATCGACTTGTCCATTTTGTTGTTGTTGGACATATCGACTTATCCATTTATTTTGTTGGACATATCGACTTATCCTTAGAATTAATAGGATTAATTACGACGCGTAATGGATCAGGTAAAATTGATGTACAAATAATTTGAAAACAATATCCCCGTCATTTAACAAGGACACGTAAATAATGGCACGCTTTGACAACTTTAATGCTCCCACAATTGCCAGCATCATATGGCTTATTTTACCATCTGGCCCTTGGTTGAAAATGCAACTAACAATTATTTGTCAAAATTTTACCTGAAAAAGAAAACAACTTCAAAAAAGGAAAAACAGCTTCAACTACATAACTAATTCACCAGAGCAGTAAGTAATACATGCCCATCTATCAGCATCACGTGTTTGCACAAAAATTATCAAATAGGGTTATTGTTTGAAAAGGGCAAAAAAGAAAAAAGAAAAATTAGGAAATCAGGGATAATTTGGTAAAATCGCAAAAACTGTCGGCTTCTATCTCTAACCCTGGTTAAATCAAAACCCGCGTCCGTGGTAGGACCATACCCCGTTCATACATACGGACCGCTCGTGAGCCCCTCTGGGATTAAGCGTCGGTGACTCGGTTAGCAACTCGTGCGAGTTCACCGCGCGTCAACATTTTAAAGAGACAGACAGAGACAGAGGCAGAGAGAGAAAGAGAGATTGATATATACAAATATAAATATATAATACATGGAAACCAAGTCCAATGCCTCAGCCATTTGAGACTTGAGAGAGAGAGAGAGAAAGAGAGAGAGAGAGGGAAATGGGGGATTCAAGTGATTCAGTGTCGGTGGATATGGAGGGGGTTTCTCTTGGTGGAAAGGTACCCACATTTCTATAAATTGTATTGTATTGTGTTTGTTTATGATTTTGCTTTTAACAACACTTTTGCTCTGTTTGGTTGCCGAGAAAAAAATGTTTGAAAGAAATTAAACCATGTAAGCATTGAACCTGTCAGGTTATTGTTAATGACATGGGTCTCATTTGAAATTTGTTTAATGCAAATATTGCATTGATTCTGCTATTGTGAAATGCCCCACCGTCTGATTACAAGGAATATGCCAAGCATTAGTTTTTCTTAAATGCATGTTGTATAGGAATGGTTTGTCTGTAAATTATGTGTAACATTGCTGGTTTAATAATTTAGCTAAGACTAGCAAATTCAGATTGTCTATTTTTTGTTTTTGTTTTTGTGTTTTTTGAGTTCTTGTTTTGCTTGAAACAGCGCAAGTTTCTCATTTGGAAGCCTGCATATAAGTCAAATTTCAAGTTAATTAGTTAGCAGTTTGATTTATCTGCTTTGGGAAATATAATGGGTTTTGTTTCGTAATTGTATGTAGATGTTCTTGGAGTCAAGGAATAAAAACTTATAACATTCTGTATTTGACGAATGCCAATATGCCCTTATGAGCAGAAGTGGTTAATTTTCTACTTTGAATTAAGGGTACCACTGTACATGAATGCTCTACTTTTCTTCTTGATGATATACTTTGTTTCCTTGGAGTAAATTACCCCAAAAGGCGGTTGAACTTTTTAATGTCTAGTTCTTCTCTTGAATGCTCATTTCAGTCATAACAATGCTTTGTCACTATTCTGTGTTTGTGACGTATATTATGTTTTCTCAATTTACTTTCCTGGAATTTTTGCCGGAATTGTATTCTTATTATGGAATCTCTCTGCAGGAGCATCTTGTAAAAACCTGTCTTGGCTATGTGTCTGTCGCTGTGTTGGGAGATCAGGACAAGCCAGCTCTTGTCACTTATCCTGATTTAGCCCTAAACCGTAAGTAAAACAAAATTTAGCTACCAATTATTATTATTTTTTGATGGGTTGTACTTGTGGTTTGTTTTTGTCTTGCATTTCAACCTTGTTCTACTTATTAGTTGGTTGATCTTACCCATCATATCGAGAATGCCATTTTTTTAGTATAGGTGTAAGAAGCAAACTATTAGTTGCTTGACATTTATATTTCTAAAATTCATTTTTATTCGTATTATTATTTTTTATTTTCTCTTGGGTGGCAGAGGGGCATTGTGTATTTTAAAGTGCAGTTCCAAAATAGTTTAGCTTTGCTCTTTTCTTCCTAAATTGGAGAAATTTATGAACTGTAATATAGATATTTACGATCTGGAGCGTCATTGATTAGTTCAACCAAACTATTTGATAGTCTAGGGAAAGTGAATTTATGTAGAGTGCGTAAGGATATAGTTGATTTGTTGCATTTGGACGTAAACGATTGATCAAGAGAAATCATGCACTTCAACATCATATTTTTTTCAGTGACATTACTTTGAAGCTCCAACTTAACTTTTGTCTTATTATGTGATTTATCAGATATGTCCTGCTTTCAAGGACTATTATTTTGTCCAGAAGCATGTTCCTTGCTGCTCCACAACTTTTGCATATATCATATCAGTCCTCCTGGCCATGAGGTTTGTAACTCAATAACTTGACTACATATATGGCTCCCACTTGATTCTCATGTCTACACGGGTCTAATTATCTTTTATATTGAGTGCTATTATTCACATCGTTTCTTATCTCGTGCTTTCTTCAAGAACTATTTCAGTTGGGAGCTTCTGCAATCAGCCTTGATGATTCTGTGTATTCTGTTGATGATTTAGTAGATCAGATTGCCGAGGTTCTTGATTTTTTTGGGTAATCAATTTTTCATTTTATGCTTTAACTTTATGTAAATCAGGAGCTTGCCTTAGAGTAATCTGAATTAGTTGTCTGTTAGTCAGAATGCTTCTGGTTTAGTTGTTGAAATAGATGTTTAGATGCATTTGCTATTGCTACACACGCACAAAAAAAAGCTCCATGAAGCTATCTTTTCCTTTAATACATTATTATTCTTTACGTATTTAGATAGATTGAACAAGGAAGGGAATTACCCTGACGTTTCTTTCTCTCTCTGTAGACTTGGTGCAGTGATGTGTATGGGGGTTACAGCTGGAGCTTACATTCTCACCCAGTTTGCTGTAAGATCTCTATTGGCACAGTGCACAATAGTGCTCATATGTGTTATTAATTTTTCCTATAAATCCTTTATGGATTTTCTGATTTATCCATAACTCTTTGCAACAGATGAAATATAGATCACGTGTCATGGGCTTGATACTTGTGTCTCCTATATGCAAAGCAGCCTCTTGGACCGAATGGCTGTATAATAAGGTTTTTTCCCCTTTCCTGGACCTGTCACTTTGTTCTGTTTATAGAATCTAGTTCTCACATAACATTTCATATCATTTGCAGGTGATGTCGAATTTACTGTACTTCTATGGCATGTGCGGGGTGGTAAAGGAGATACTGCTTAAGCGGTACTTCAGCAAGGTCTGCCATTGTTTTAGTTTAACTCACATATACTTGTGTCACCACATTTAAATTGGTTTGATTGTTTTAAGTTTTTAATCCTGGTGGCAGGAAGTTCGTGGTGGTGTTCACATACCAGAGTCAGATATAGTTCAGGCATGCAGAAGGGTCAGTGTTCTAGCCTTTATTACCTTCTCTGATTTATATTAAGTTCTTTGTCTGTGTAAATCAAACAATGAGGTTGGTCAAGTGCTGAGCACATGTCTAATGTGTGTATGCTCGTACAGTCACTTGATGAAAGGCAGAGTTCAAATGTTTGGCGATTTCTTGAAGCAATGAATGGGTAAATCCCGTCCCCAAAATTTCTTTTTAGTTTTTAAATGTTAACCTCCATTATCTTACATGTCAAGTTTTCTGTCACGTGAACTGCCTTTGTGCATCCGAGATGTCCAATTATATCCGCTTAAATAAATTAGAGTTTGACGCATTAGGTGGCATGGAATTAACTCTGTTTTTTATGTCTAGCAGGAGACCTGACATTTCTGAAGGATTGCGAAAGCTACAATGCCGTTCACTAATATTTGTTGGGGATAGCTCTCCGTTTCACTCAGAAGCTCTGTACATGACTTCAAGACTAGACAGACGATATAGTGCCTTGGTTGAGGTATGGAACCCATGTCAAATTCCTATGGTCATATCATGCATTAGTTGTATCTTTCCATAAATGTAAAGCAAGCTCATCACTGGAGGTGTGTGTGACCTACAGGTTCAGGCATGCGGGTCAATGGTGACGGAGGAGCAGCCCCATGCAATGTTGATACCAATAGAGTACTTCCTCATGGGATATGGCTTATACAGGCCTTCTCAGTCTAGTGTCAGCCCGAGAAGCCCCTTAAGTCCGTCCTGCATTGCACCGGAGCTTCTTTCACCGGAAAGCATGGGCTTGAAGTTGAAACCAATAAAAACTCGGGTTCGGGATCCTCATGAGAGAAGTTGAAAAAAGGGTTTGCAGGGAAAAACGGGTTTTTTTGTAATGTATCCGAGCCATCTGAGTTTGAGCTCTCGCTTGATTGGTTGGGGATTAAGAAAGAGAGGGGGTATTAGCGGTTCTGTAGATAAAGAAAGAAAGAGAAAGATACAAGGGAAAATTGATAAGGAAAGCAGACATCATTCTTTCATTTGTAGTCCACAAATGTTAGTTGGGGAGGGGGAGGGGGAGGGCTAGTTTTCTTCTGTATATCTGCGAAATAATTATTTAAACAACGAAAAAAAACGTACATTACAATAATGATATAAAATGGATGATGAACTTGTGCTTTCTCCTGTATGTTTATTTATTTCTTCTTTTTAGTTTCATGGATGACGTGGCACACTATGGAAGTTTCATGGTGGCTCATGTGTCAGCAGAAGAAAATGCAATGTCATTCTTGTTCACTTGCTAGTTGATGATAATGCCACAAACAAAATATGGTTCCATGAATCACTATGCATGCAGTCAAGGTGGACTTGGTGGAGTCTGTCATGGCCTGCATGATAAGATTGGCAAATTGCAAAGCTTGTCATCAATTATGAACAATTTCTTGCTCATCATCTTTCCTAGATGTCGGAACATGATCAATGGCCTATATTCACAATCCGACAATATAATATTTTATGTCGTCCGACAATCTGATAAGTGAATCACTATTAAAAGTAACTTTTGCATGAAGACAAAATAACATAATACAACAATTTTCAGCTGTACAATAGAAGGTAATCAAACCTTAAACCTAACTTAATTCTAACTTATTTGTCCACGCATCGTCGCCACTTGGATTAACTATAAGGACTTATGATACAACATTAAGCTACCTCAACATGAAGTTGTTCTTAAATCTTAACTACTGGCGAGGAAGTGGAACTGGGAGAGCATTTTGAAAGGCTTCATGGGCAGTGAGACAGGTCGAACTGTTTTGAGACTCACAGTCAACTGGAACCAATTGATCAGTTGATCTCGACTTGTTTTCAGTGAAGAATGCATTAACTGTGTTGAGCAAGACAGCCCCAAGCTCATCACACTCATTCCATTCGTAAATTTTTGCCTTTGTAAACAATGGATTGGCAGAAATTAAGTCCCAGATAGGAAAATCCCTCCTCGGCATCAGAAAATCTCCTTCTTCAAGCTTCAAACCTGCACAAAAATCAGGAGCTCCATCCCCAACATAGATGAACTGTTTATGTTTCTTCCCATCTGCTGCAACAGAAGCTTGCATCTTTTCCATTATTAGACCCTGTAACAAAAGAAACCCCACAAACATACTAAACCAATGTAATTAAACTTGTGATTTTGATTTGGGGTACTTAAACATATGCAATTAGTTTAGTTTAATCACCTTGCACATGCTGGGAGGGCAAATGGTACAGCCATGAGAAGATGAGTGGAAATCATGGTAGGGTAAGATTCTAAGCCTGCCCTGTTCATCAATAATGCTTGGGTTGGTGTTGATTTCTGAGAAACAATCCATTAGCCCATGATGCTTCAATATTGTGTCTATGAAAAATTCATTTGCAGCACTTAACACCCTCAGATCACACCTGCATGTGTTACAATTAGAATTTTTCATAACAATTATAGCATAATTTGTTCTGTTTTGTCAATTCATAGTATGTTTATAAGGAAAGGAAATTACCCAAAAGCATGGGCTGATTTGATTGCAGAGGCAATGTTGGGATGCAGTGGAATCTTCTTTAAACATTCTGCAATGTCCTCAATTGTCTTTCCACGAGAATGAAGCTCCCTCATCATTCTATCCTGAAGTTACACACCCAATTCAACAGTTAAATGATCCTTTGGTTTAGTGTCACTCAATCTTCATTTTAGAAGTACCAAGTTAAAATCTTGTAAACGACTGACAATTGTTGATAAAAAAAGAATAAAAAAAACCAATTGAAACACACCATAAGAGAGTTCCAAGGCATGGTAGGGAGGAGCTGTGTGAACAAGTCTTTGACACCCAACTCCTCCACAACCCAGTTGTCGCTATCCCAGTCAATGATCGTCTTGTCGAAGTCGAAAACGACGACCAGCCCTGCCATTGCTCCGGCACCACCACCACTTGGTAGCTCAAAAGTATCAAAGAGAGAGTAGAAGTAGTAGTGCGTGTAAATCAAGTGACAAAGAGCAGGCTTAAACCTTAATCTGTTTTTATAGGGGTTGCTTTAGCAAATTGCTTACAGCTTAGCAAGCACTGAGTCCCTGACAAGGGAGAAGGGTACACATGCATATACATAGTGGACAATGTTGTGTCCTGCGTGAACTATAAACTCCCACGTCCGTTTCCCAAACACTTTTTAGCATGCATGAACTGTACTTTAAATTAAGGATTAAACTAAATCACGCGTGTTAACCTTTCGGTTTTCATTACGAAAAAGTTCCAAAATAAATAATTTTCTAGCCATTTTTTTCCACAACGATTCTACTATTGCTTGCAAAACATTCTTGGGGGCAACGAGCATGGTCGCTGAAACCTACTCCTGAATAATTTCCACTATATACAATTGTAACATTAATGTTGTGGAATATGCCCCATTTTCCATTCGCTATGTACTTCAGTTCACACCAAATTTGTGATGGTTAATACTTATGTTGTGGTGGTGGCTTCTATTGTTTCTCTCAGTGTTGTCACTTTGACGAGTCTTTCGTCTGTTCATCTCCGAGTACATTTCCTCAATCATCGGTTTCCATAGCCGGACACGAGCGTTGATGAACCAGTTGGATACCTGGCATGGACAATTTTATAGAGAATGCGTTCTTAGAAGCTGAGGATTCAAATGCCAAACAAAAGGAAATTAAAACCAAAAGTTGGGGACGCAATAAAATCAGAGATCAAATATACCTGGTTTCTTGTCAATCCACTTTTCACTGCAAGGACATGCTTCTCTGCATCTTTAGGGTACCTGAAATCAATCAAATGGATAAGACATTCTAGGATATCTCTACTTACAAACACTTCATTTCAGCAAAATATATATTGCATTGTTTGAGCACATCACGATGCCGAATACTCAATCAAGCACAAGCACAAGACATAAATGAGAAGCTCACGGATGAAGGAAGTTTTGAAACATCCATGCACGTAAAACTGAGACGGATCTTTCAGGCAAGCCTCTCTGGGGTCTCCATATTTGATGTTCTTTCTTTTTTAGATGCTGCAGAGCCAACTGCTTGTGGATTTCAAAAGACCTTTCACTCTCAGTGGGGGATGCAGGGTTCGAATTTGCAGTCATTGCAAGGAAATGGGTGCTAATCCTTTCCCTCAGATTTTTATACAGTACAGAGATTGTTTGAAGGGCAAAACGAGCATGTATATGGGGATCCGTCTCGGTAGCAGCATGAAACGCTGATACAACTGTATGAATCTCATCTACACATTGGTTGTAGCAGTCATCAAGCTGCATCCACAGAAGAACAATATCAATCTCTTACAGTGCCCAAATACTATTTCCAAGTCCACCACATGAGCAAACAAATGTGCGAGAACAGGCCAACAAGGTTATTGAGGTGTAAAATGAAACATTTCTACACCTTTTGTCTATTAAGAAACTTTGATTTTACCAAATGTCAAATTTTAATCCAGTTTGTCTACAGGACTTCCAATATCTAAATGCACTTGACATCTAAGTTAGAATCAGAACCAGAACAGATAACTCTAGACTAATTAATAATACAAAAGAACTGACATACCATTTGTAATAGGGTCAGCAATTTGGATTTCTTTGTTTTGATTTCCTGTTTTTGCAATGCAGGCTCCTTATGTACCTCAAATCTACTGTCACTGTCAGCGTTCTCAGACACGATCCTCGCAGATGAAAAACTCGACTGGTCTAGATTTTCTAGTGAGTAGCTTGCAATGTCAAAAAGTATTTCCTGAACCACATGAAGATATCTTGATCCACATATTACTTGGGATAGTTGAGGAGGTTTGCAGGAACCAAAACTTAGAGAAAGCTCCTCACTGTTGCAAGAATTTCGCTCCGATGAGCCAAACCTTGTTTGATTCAAAGAAGGGTGAGCCATCCCAGAAGAACCAATGTCTGAACACTGATTTCGGATATCCACCCCACCAGCGATAGAAGGGCTGGATGTGGCAAGAGTTAGAGCGAGCTCGTTGCTGAATTTACAGGAACTGTAAGAATGATATGTCATTGCATTTTCACCATTTGATGATAACCATCCATTTGGATCCAGATTTCCTGTGGGTGAATATGGTTGAAACCCTGTTCTTACTGAAGTTCTCTCACCAAGTTCCGAAGGAGCTGCGTACTTGTTGATCTCCCACTGACTACTTATACTACCAAGTATTTCATCATATCCACAATTCACAGAGGTTGCAAACAGAGAATTAGAGTTGTTAGAGCAGTCATTTGAAACGTAAGCTTCTGAAGAACTGACCGGAGTTCCTGAAATTGCTAAGTTGTTGAGATTTTCTTGAAGACTACCCCTTGCAGCTAAAAGGGTAGCAAGTGAAGCAGCAGAATGAGGTGTTGCTTGGAACACAGTATTATCAGTGAAACTTGAACTGATGAATGAGGAGTCTCTCACATTATGCCTTCTTTGGGATGTAACAAATGGATTTGATTCAACAATGCCGGCACCGTTTGTGCCATTAAACTCAGAATGAGAATGCATGACAGGTTCTCCTGGAAAGGATGAAAGCACTGGAACTAAAGCCATGCCATGGTTTTGGTGATTAAGATCAAATGAATAGGATTGAACAAGTGAGTTCATCGTTGTATGTGGTACAATCCCATCCATGACAACCGAATTTCGGGCGGTCAAGTCCGTCGGGACATTATACATTTGATTGTCCATCATAAAAGGAGACAACAAATATCAGTTAGCATTGAGCATAAACAGCAGCTTTTGACACTCTGGGAAATTTAGTTTAACAAAAAACAGGGGAGATGAATATAATATCAGGCCACTCCTTCTGATAAGATGAACTGACGACCAATACAGATCGATCTTAGCCTGGAAAAGTTTCAAAATAAAGTTAAAACATAAACAACATTTCAAAGGCAACAAAGAGGGAAGTAAAACAAAACCGCACACAGTTTTTAGGTGCAGTCTGTGCTTTTAAATACCATGGAAACAGTTGGGTAAAACAGGATAGATGCAAACTGTCATAAACTCTATAAAATAATTACCATGGAAACACTTAACAAATTAGGTACATGCAAGTCAAGGTGTTGTTATGGAATCTCTCTTGATTAATCAATTGAAAGTGTTCTAGACAATAAACAAACAAGAGGTGAAAGATACCAACCTGCCACCTACTTGCAGAGGAGGAGCTATCACCCACCTACAAGAAACCTCAATGAGAATGCAGGCCTTTCTAGGAACAAACCCTTCTCTAAGGCAAAACAATGTTGTTATAAATCTTCAAATAGATTCATGGGATTTGCCAAATCAGACCCCTTAGATTTATAATGAGATGAAAGATGGAATGATGATTGACAACAATATAAGTATACTTCCCTTGGAACTCAGAACAAGCCAATTCAGTGAAAGTTCACAAGATATGATTCGTTTACTTTATCCGTAAAGCCTTACAGGGAGTACAATGAAAAATAACTTTGTTCCTTCTTTAACAAAAAGAACAAGGAGAAAAAGCTAATTATAAGGTCTCATGCATCCTTCCCCCCACCTTTCTCAAATCACAAGAAATGAAAAAGGCAACACAAAAGGTGAAGTTTTTTGTTTGAATGAACAGAAAAGTGGGAATTTTTTTCAAGAAAACCAAAACCCAAGAAACTGAAATTCAGAGTTTCAGGAATCAGGACCCATCAAGTTTTTTTTCAGAGAGTTCATCTCTCTTTCTTTCTCTAGCTAAAGCCACAAGATTTGAAAAAAGCATGAAACATAAATGGGTCTGAAAAATAAAGGACACCCCATCTCAGAGAACCCAATAAAAGAAAGAAAGAGAGTGAGTGAGTCAAAAAGCCAAAGAGAAATAAAAACAAATGAAAAGCTTTTATCACAGAGAGGTAAATGCTTTTATCACAGAGGTGGAGTTTGAATGTGTATGAAATTATGAAATGGACCCATTAATTAAGATAGAGAGAGTAAGAAGAGCCACACAACACAAAGAGCAAAACACATATAGAGATAGAGAGAGAAAGAAACACAAAGAGCAAACACATTACTCCATGGTGCAGTGGCAGAGTGCCACTCATTTCCTCTGCAGGCTTTAGAGGGCCCATCTCTTTCCCTCTCATTCTGATCTCTTTTGTCCTCCTCACCACCTCTCATTATCTGCTTCTCTGCAATCATCACAATCAAAATATCTGGATTCTCTCTGTTCAAGCCACTGTTCTTGCCAGGTCCCCTCAGCCCCATTTTTCAGAAATGCAAAATATAGTAAAAAGGCCTTTGCTTTTTAGCTGTTTTGGACACCAAGCCAGCTTAACCTGATGAGAAACAAGAGTAAATGTAGAGAGGCTCTCAAACTTTCTCTTCAGAATCCAACAACTAATGGCGTAAAAGGCAAATTGAGAGGTGAAAAGAGAGAGATAGAGAGATAGAGAGAGAGGGCCAAGGCACTGTGCCAGCAGTGTACTTTTGTAGACAATGCTGATGCAAGCAAACCCAAAATCTGATGAGAAAATCTACTTGGCAAATCTTCATGAATTTATGAGCAATTACAAACCCACCCACCCCCCTACTTTCTTTTGGCATAGTTTCTCTTTGCATGGATCAAAACCAAACCAATCCTATGCCCTAATTCTATAGGTTAGGATCACATAATAACTATCAAATAGGCTTTTAAAATCTAACAAGTAATGATGAGAATCTGCCAAACTGGTAAGATGAGATTCCATAATGATGTAGGAGTGGCTCTCCTCTCTCTCACTTAACTGATCTTGTTTTGAATTCTTGGATCATGAATTTAATACAAACAAATAATGCTTTTTTTTAATTATTATATATTAAAAATATTAGAAGCAAATACATGAAGGTGCTCTGCTTCCTGATGTGACAGTACATGCAACCTGCTCTGAGATTTTGCTGCCCATCTCCATGTGCCAGTACATGATTTGGCTAGAAAGTAAATACACTCAAGTAATCAACGACTGGAAATTGGAAAAACCCATGTCTTCCTACGGCTTATCTACACTGCCATTTGTAAACTTAGCTGCCCTGCCTTCGATTCAATAGCCTTTCAAGTGAGACTAGCCGGATTCAACAACGGTGAAAGAAAGACCTGTATTGGGCCAGGCCCAAGATCAGTTTGAAGTAGTTTTACGGGCCTAAGCCTGAACAAAAGGGCCCACAAATCATGCAGAACCCAAATAGATTAGATGACTCACAAATCTGTATTCTATTTAATTAGTGTTTTTCAAAAATAATAAAAATACAAGTGAAGCGAGAGTCTAAATTACTATAATTTATGTGGAGAAGAATCGGAAATTGGGTGTAAGGGGGCGGCCTCACTGTCTTAGTCAACTGACCTAATCCACATGTGCAGAAAAATGATTGTTAAATCAAAAGTGAAATAAGTTCCTTTTATGATCACTACATTTACCAACTTTGTTTCCCCTACTAATAGGCTGTAGCTAGGCAACTACACCACACAACACTTAATTAGTGGTATAATTAATTGAGATTAATGTAAATGAAATATAAGTGGCCAGAATTGGCTGCTTCACTAAAGCGACAGACGAGGCAGAGGCTTCTTTCTTCCTGGTCACATGTCCCTCAAGGCTTGATCACAAGTCACCCTAATTTTTTCTCCTTTTCCTTTTGCCGTCCTTGCCGTTGAATTCAGGTTTGACATTTAAGCCACACGAAAAAGCACTGGACCAAATTATGCACCAACTATCTGCCCCTTCCCTAAAAATCTCTCTCTCTCTCTCTCTCTCTCTCTCTCTCTCTCTCTCTTTTTCTTCAATCGTGCACAAATAGAAGGCGGAAATCTATCAATTTTTTAAGCCGGATTTAAGCTGATAGCCGTGCTTTTATATTTAAGTGCACGAAAGCTGCTTGGAAAAATATGCGCCTACTCTAGGCTTTGTATTCAATATGAAGCAATTATATATTGATTGACGTCCGAACACTTGTATAATCTAATTTAATTTCTAATTCAAAACGAATAAGTGAAGATACGAAACATCTTACGTAGTGCAAAACAGACTTTAAACTTCTCCGACGTAGGATATACCCTCGCAACACACTTCAATATAAACTGTAGAACCAAAATAAAATAAAAAATGTACATTAATTAATCAAATCCAAACTGTACCAAGTGAATAAAAAAAACCCAAAAAAAGAAAAGAAAATCAAAAGAGGGAACAATATCCAACTTGCAGAACAAGAAGCTAACCACTAAAAGTTGAAAAAAATAACCCAAAAAAGAAAAAAATAAATAAACATAATCTGTTGTGTCAATTCAAGATTCATCAATTTCATGTCCTCCAATGCCATGCGCAGAACTCATAGCCACCACCCCAAGCTTCTGCAGGTTCAACTTGATCACAGTGTCCACAAACATCTTTGTATCTTCCCCAGTGTTGCCTTCTGGTATGTCCACAATATAAGACTCCAATACAATCGAGTACACCTGATCACTCCCTCCGTCTCTGCCATCAACGAACTCAGTAACCGAAGTAACCGACCTGTAATTGTTCAGCCTGTGCTCGCCTCCCACAACCCTAAAGCTAATTATGTGCTTCTCGTCGTCCAAAATCTCGAGCCTCTCGGTGCTCGTGGAGGCCGGAAGCCCCGAAACCACCGTCACCTCCCTTATGCTCCCGACGCCGCCGTCACCTTTCATGTTGCAGCTTTTGATGAAGTGCTTGTATTTTTGAGGGTTGTCGAAGCTTCGAACCAGAGGCCAGACGTGGCTTGCCGGGGCGTCGATTTTCTGTGCTATTAGCGCCGTGCATGTGTTTGGCGACGGCTCGAATTTGTGGTAGGTTTCGATGAGGCTCTCTAGCTCTGCAAACTCCTCTTGGGTTAGGCCATATGGTGGAGCTTGGCTAGCATCCATGGCTTTTGTGCTCACACGTGTGAGAAAATCAAACAATTAATTAGAGCATTCAAGAAGAAGGAGAAGGAGAAGGAGAAGAGAAGAAATGAATGAACACTGAAAGTAAAAGACTAGGTGAACCATCATATGAACACATGAGGGGTGCATTTATGCTTGCGTTTGTTTTTGTTTTAGGACAGATATGCCCTTGTAACATATTTTATTACAACAGGAAGCAAGATGGAATTCCGGTGTAAACGAGACTTGGCCAACCGATGTAACTCACATTTACAGTTGTTATTATATTCGACTAGCCTTTCCGCACGTGCTTCCGCACCTGCGAGAGGCTTTTTTGTTTTTAAATTTAAAATTTCTTTTAGAATTAAAAAAGATAATGGGTAGTTGTTTTCCATAAAAATAGGATCCATTATCCGATTTTTCTTTTAATTTTAATTTTTTTAAATATGAAAAAGTGTGAATTTACCATATTATCCTCATTTAATTAATAATTTCAATTCTTAATGTTTGCATTAACCAAGGGCATTTTCTGGTATTTTGAATGTTTCACCATTCTTTGCCTTTTGCTTTATATATACTAGCCTCTCTGGATGCGCTTCCGCGCCTGCGAGAGGCTTTTTAAAAGAAAAAAATTAAATTTATTTAAAATTAAAAAAGACAATGGGTAGTTGTGTTCCATAAAAAGAGGATCCATTATCTGATTTTTCTTTTAATTTAAAATTTTTTTAATATGAAAAAGTGTAAATTTACCATATTATCCTCACTTAATTAATAATTTCAATTCTTAATGTTTGCATTAACCAAGGATATTTTTTGGTATTTTGAATGTTTCACCATTCTCTGCCTTTTGCTTTATATATATAGATATAGATTAATTAAGTGGCAAGTGGGATTTATGATGTGATTGTGTTTTGCTTAAATTAGTGTTTACTTCCAAATTTAGATAACGATTGGGGTGGACCCTATCACAACAACTATATTGGGAAGTATCTTGCTTTAGCTTAATCTTCTTTGGCTTTATCTATCTTGCGGGTAATGGGACAAAGGCCACTGCCCAAATTTGGATGTCAAAAAAAAAAAAGGTTGATACCATATGAATGAACATGAGGTTGTCCTTTCCTGAAAGGAATTTTTTTATTTATAATCAGAGTGGTTAGAATATATATATACAAGTTGGGGAGTGATGATTACTCTGATTCAAGTTGACCGCATCTTTTTTATATAGTTACCAAATTAATCATAAGTTTCGAGAAAAAATCTAACTTTACTTATATATATATATATATAGCTTGAGGCATTGGTTGTTAAATATTTAAAAACATAAAAAAAGAGAAAGAGAAAATCCGAAATCTGTATTATGTACCAAAAGCCAGCATAAGATGCCTAACTTTCAAATCCCGGACATAATTAGGGACAATGATTAGTACTTGTTTGAATTAACGCACGCATGCATGCATGTCGTGTTTTTTAAAATAAATAAATTTATAAATTAAATTAAAGTAAAATATCGTCTCTGTAAAAAGTAAATTTATTATATTGATGTATGCATTGATTGTGTTGAGAAAAATTGGTTAGCCATGAGATCATCAAGATTGAAATGTTGATTAAGTTTTGGGAGGAGAGGAGGAGGGACATGCATGTAAATATGGGACAAAGGCAGGGGTATAGAGAGTAAACCGGGTAAAGAGGACAAAGACTGTAAAATTGGAGGGAGGGAAGAAGGGAGGAGTAGTCGCAATCGTTGAAAAGGACAAGCTGGAGATTCGTGGATCATGTGACAACTCTAACAAACTCCCGCGTGATATCTAAACTCTCTACTTTTTTTTCTTTTTTTTCTTTTTTTTCAAAGTTGGTATAATTTTATCTTAGCTCAAAAAAATGCATAAATTTATCAATATGAAAAATGTCCACTATAATTTTCAGTAATTGGTTACCCTTTTGTTATAAAAAATAATAATAATTTGAAAAAAGAGTATTGTAGATACGAAGGACTCACTAGTGTAGTGGTTTTATAAACTCGAGTCATAGCATTCGTGTAGTGTATGTGAATTCAGTATGTTATCGCTCATCTGATCTCAATTAAAAAATATCTTTTAAAAAGGAAGTATTGTAGATGAAAATTGTGATTTTTTTAAAAAATTTGTTGGTGAATTATGAATTCAGAAGTTAAAAATTGTCGAATAATGAATAAATAGGAAAGAACTAGTTAATGTATTGTTGTTGGTTGCAATTGATGACAGAGAGTAGATTGAACACTTTATGCTTTATGGTTTGGGCTTGTTGCGTGGGTAGTGGTAGTTATGATGCAATCGTGGGGTTCTTGATTTTATTCTAAAAGCACAGCAAACAAACTGGTAAGGAAATTGACATATTCTTTTAAAAAATATATTTTATCTGCATTGCAATTTGCATATACCATTTTTATTTTTAGTTTCTAATTGTCCATTCAACCATCATCTTTGCAAAGAATTAGAAATCATAAAAAAGACCACTTTATTATGTAATTAAATGATGTTGAATTTGAGTGAATTTTTCAACGATGGTTTAGGAAGGAAGATATGTATATATATATATATATATATATATATATATATATAATGTTAGGTTGCTTTAAGTCTGTCTTTACTTCAATAATCGTAAAAGACAATGCTTTTCGTCACTCAAAATGGCAAAAGGAAATTAAATTTGTTTAATTTTTAATCCAATTATATAGTCTTTTTGAAGTAATGACTTTTTTGTAATTCAAGTGGTTAAAAATATTTATCTCTGCATCCGAAGTTTTAGGTTCAGTCCCTCCTTCCTCGCTTGAGAAAAACAGATAATAAACAAACGGAACTCTTTATTCCACCAAGCTTCTGAGTCCGAGGACCTTATCCTGGTTGGGCTTCAACAGAACATAATGTTATGGACATGGGCTTGAACAGAACATAATCCGATGGCGAAATTCTAAATTTTGTTAAGATCACATGAATTCAAAAAGCCCAAAACTTGAATGAGATGTATATTTATTTCCTACATTATAAATATGCTGAAGAAGAACACTTTGGAAAGAAAGAATCGATGAACTAGGTCGGTTGGTTTTCAACCAAATCAGAAGGAGCAGGGTACGATGAAAACCATTTACATATGGTTGTCTGCTAAGTTGGAGACTCCATCTCCATGTTTGTCTGCTAAGTTGGAGGCACCCTAGCTACTCACTTCATTGATGATTCAGACTTTTTTCTTTCTTTTTAAAACTTATTTATAAATTATCTTTCACTTATAACACGTAGATTCATAACGTGATAATATCATATCACTGATTAATAAGAAGGTGGCCCTTAATTTCCCTTTACATATAGGACAACTCCAGTGGGAAGGGCCCTACATGCATATGTATTCATGCATGCAGCTTCTGCATGCTTCTTCTTCCTCCTCCTCCTCCATTCAGGAATTGGAGACAACACAAGCAACAGGCATTGATAGCTAAAGTTTATGACACACAACACAAACATTGATTTTGTTGTTGTGGGCCCAACCTTCTCTCTACTACTCATAATCTCATATCATCAAATTCCCAACCAAAAACAAAGGGTTGGTTGAGGTTGACTACATATAACAATACCAAGCGCTGCACGATAGATACCATATCATTTTGATCTGAGAGAGCCAGGGAGATGGGCAGGAAATGCTCACAATGTGGGAACATGGGTCACAATTCAAGGACTTGCGGTGTCAGGCAGCGGCGGCAGAGAGGTGGAGGTGGTGGCCTTAGGCTCTTTGGGGTCCAAGTACTTGACCTATCTTCTTCTTCTTCCTCATCTAATAATTCTCTAATTTCCAGGAAGAAGAAGAATATAATAATTAAGAGATGTCCTCCGAGCATGGTCCACTGCTTGTCATCTGTCGCAGCTTCTTCTCCAACAACACCCTCCTCTTCTACATCTTCACGCCTTCAAAGCAGCGCCTTGATCGACGAAAATTCTGAGAAAATGTCAAATGGCTATCCCTCTGATGGCCTCACAGCATTACCCCAAGAAAATAATTACAAGGGTCAGTTCTTCTTGTCCTGCTCTCTCTCTCTCTCTCTCTCTCTCTCTCTTGAAAAAAAACGGTACTTTTGCATAAACTCTCAGTTTAATCGTTAATTACTGGGTTTCTCTTTCTGTCGACTTTGCTTGAAAGTGATGATTGATGCATCATGCATCAGAAGGTACTTCACATGACTAATAGTCTGAGGAAGGAATATATGAAGTTGATGCAACAATATAGTTGGCCCACATTAACACTTTAAAGTTTTCGAATACTTGTAAACCAGCAAACTAGCTTTATCATAGTCACTAGCGGACCCATGAATTTTTTAATGAATGTGTAATTTTGGTCAGAATTTATTTATAAATAAAAAATAAAAACAAACGCGCTGTTCAACAGATAGTATAAGAATTAATGATCAAAACAAACTTGATTAGAATTGCCAATTTACTAATTTCATAATTTTCTGTGGTTTGATGATGAGTTGATGGTGATGATTAATAATAATATGTAGGTGTGGCTTGGAGTGAGGAAGAGCACCAAATGTTTGTGATGGGGCTAGAAAAGCTTGGTAAGGGCGACTGGAAGGGCATCTCTCGGCATTTTGTCACCACAAGGACTCCAACCCAAGTCGCCAGTCATGCTCAGAAGTATTTTCTCAGACTAAACACCCTCAACAACAAACGACGCCGTCCCAGCCTTCTTTATGTAATTAATTTCGATTAATATATATATATTTTTATATAAATAATATTATACTTTAACCTAATCTTCTAAACTACTACGGGGAGGGGATTTTAACTTGCCTGCAAAATAGAGTTTTATTCATGTTCGGTTAATTATTTAGTTTAATTTAATATTTTTTTTCTTTGCTGCATGCAGGTTGGTAAAGATGAACTCTCAGTTCAACTGATGAACAAACCAAACATTTTTAGACCTAATAATATTGAAGCTTCGAGTGCTATTATTCCATATGGGTATGGGTTTGACAGCAGTCAGCTCTCTTCTTCATCGACTTTAGCAGCAGAGCCTGCAGCTCCTCTTCCAACTGCAGCAACTGATTTAGAACTTAAGCTTGCAGCTCTGATGCCGTTGGATCAACAGACTAAACCCTGCCCTAGAGCCCTTCTAACTGCACCTATATGTTAAGCATTATCTAGCTAGCTAGTACATGACATGGATCAGAAGATTTACAGCCACCGCTTGTGCTAGTGGAATAGTATTTCTAGGTCATTAATGTTTTGTTTAATTTCATGCGTCGGATGTAACTTCGTGGCTTTATATCGGAAACAATAATGTTAGGGAGATCACATTTTTGAACCTTATTAGCGAAGTACATGTGACATGCCATCCACTAATGAACTAAGTAATTGCAAAAAAATTGGTGGCGGAGGATCGCGCCCTAATTTTTCCTTTAAATTAATTAATTAAACTGGGCATGCCCATGCATGACAAAGTGGACAGTCACAGGGGACCTCCTTTGATTTTGTTCTCATTGTCAGCATGACCACTTTGTGTTCTTTTACTGATTGATTATGAAATAAGAAGAAGAAGAAACAGAGTCAGATAATAAACTTTTTCCTAAAATCTCTCCTCATGTCCACTGGAAGGATTGGGATCCATGGCCATGAATTTTGGTTCCAACTATTAACTTGGCTTATATACCGGGTTTCACGGTGCCACAGGAGAAAAATCGCCTGTCCTGGGTTGTATAGGCCCCCATGTTCCTATAGCACACATCAGTGACACATCGAGTCGAGGTTTGGTAACTATGACAGTTAAAAATTCCACAAGTCAAAAAAAAACCATTGAACTTAAAGAGTGAATCTTTACAATCAAGCATATCTGAAAGAGAAGGCATGGAGGAGGTATGATATAGACATTACTAGAAATATCCAAAATTCTACACTTCCCGGACAAAAAGAAACATATGAACTACAAATTTCAGTTCAAATTACAAGACGCAAAATTATGTTACAACTCCAAAAGAATAAATCACTGGCGCAAAGAATGAATGTTATAGGTAAAGCATTATGTGTTAACTTCTTTCAGCAGTTAGATAGTCTCTTTCCTGTTCTTCCATTACTGAGGCTCGATTTGAGCGGTTGATTAGGCCAGTAATGTGAAACAGAAAATTACTCCCGAGTAGATTTGTATGAGAAGTGAAGAAAACAGTTCAATTCTCTTATCAACTCCACAAGCACCCACTCCCCAAATGTGGCTGGAGCAAAACATGTTGGGTAAAACGGAGATTGCCTTTACAGTTTCAACTATACAGAGATCACGAATCATGTGATTCTCGGACCATCAAAATAACGCGCTGTTTACCACTATCTGAGCGAAGGTTATCTCCTTTAAACCCAATCTGAAGTCAACAAACATATGTAAGATACGTGAAGATAAAGCTGGGAATACAAGCGCATAAACTTCAACTTTCAATCAAGTTCTATGAAACCAGTTCTGAAAATGAATTTTAAAATGTCAATACCTCAACAGCCCCGTCCGGAGGGAACCACCTTAAAAGCACACCAAGATGCACTAAACCAGGGATTAGCTTGAATAGAAAAGGAGTGGTCACCTGCAATAAATTTCAGAAAATGTAGGCAGGAAATTATTACAAAAATCATATCTACACTTTTTTCTTTATCAATGAAAAATAAAATGCAAAAACATCAATAATGGACTAAAGAAGCACATCATAACACAGAAGGAGATAATTTTCATACCAGACTAAGGGCTGTGGTTCCAAGAAGCAGGAGATATAATTTCCCCTGAAAATGGTCAAAGTTTAGCTCACTAGCTCATAATTGTTGTCACATTCTTCTACAAGTTGGAGGTTTAAAAGATCCAGAGAACACAGCCATATTAATGTACTGTGGTCATTAATTATTTACAACAGCGTCAATCAGGTTACTGAGGTTTGACCCCCCAAAAAAATCAGGTTACTCAAGTATGAAACCAGAAATTTCCTCAGGCAAGTGAATTTTGAACTCTAAGTATATCTCATCATTAAAAAGAAAAAAAAACCAATAGTAGCACTAACCTCAACTAGATGGAGATTAGAGGCACGACTTAGAAGCACAAAAGCAAATTCGCCTATCTGTGCCAGAGAAATTCCGACCTATACAAATACAAGAATCCGAGAACTGTCAACAACTGAATTACTAGAATAAGTAATATGACAATGAGTTCAAATCAAACTTACAAGAAATGAGGTTTTGTTGTTGTAACCAAATCCCTTGACAACCATGGTGATGATAATTGTTTTTATGATGATAACTAATATAACAGACGCTAGTAATATATCAACATGATTCCAGAGAAATTGAACATGGATCAGCATCCCGATGCTAGCAAGGAAAAGAGCAGCAAAAAGGTTGCGGATGGGTTCAATCTGCAAATACGGAAAAGTTCAGTGCTGCTATAAAAAGTTACTATAGGGAGCTTCAACATTATGAGCAACGATTTATCATCCACATAAGAACGAGAAAACCAATACATATAATGATTGTGACATTTACTGCAAGTTGCATTCTTTACCAAATTACAGGGTATTGGTACATTAGAAGGCTAGAAACCTACATTTCTTACATGTCTGCACAAAGCTCACCATTCACTTTCTAGTAGATGGTACAGAGCCTTAATCATCCAAGGGAATCCAAACCCACATTATGCAGTGAGCGAAAATACTTGCACTAATATTGTTCAATGAAACACCTCAGCTGGTGTAAGGACCCAATTCAATTAAGCCCACCAATAAAATCCTGATAGGTAACCTTTTTTTCCCTTCCGTATAATAATGGATACCATAAACACAAAGGTGCTCTCTCCCTAGCCAAAGAAAGGTCTTTGACAGAAGATAACCAATATACCAAAGAAAGTAAAATAAACCACTTCTTCTATTTATGGTTGGTTGCATGCATTCTTGAGCTACAGAAGTAAGGAATATATCCAAAGAAGATCATCCACATGAATATGGCATGGAGTATAGCCTTACTTGTTCTAGTGTATGTTGAGCAAGATCAGTTGTTGATATCATCACTCCCGCAGCAAAGGAACCCAGTTCTAGACTTAGTCCCAGCTTATCACTACACTGAAATTGTAAAAACAATTAGACTATAGTGTCACGACTAGTGTCAGGGAATTCAAGCACAATTATCTTACATCATTTTCGAGAAACTCATAAGGTGCACAGTACCTTACTAACCAGATGCTGAGGGTCTATGCATATACTGTAACGGACAGAACTTATAAACACGACTCATAAGGCATAAAAGGACATATAGCCAAAGCAAAATTAATCTTTCACATAACAAGGGTATATCTTTGAAATATAATCAACATAGTACAAATTTGTAGCCAAAACTATTCTTAGGTCACCAATCAACCCAACTTGCTACTGGATTTTGTGAGTAGTCAAGACGAATGTCCATTCATAGATAGGCTTAAGTAAAACACCAGATGTAATTCTCCTAACACATTAAAAAAGGACTTGTGCCAAAATGGAAAACAACCAGCAAACATAATGGAAGCAACATGAAGGAAAATGATTCTTCAGAATATAAGATAAGAGAAATGTGAAGCTCGCCAACATGAAGCAAGGACAAATAAAGCAGGAAGGAAAACATACCCAGGCAACAAGCAAGCAGAATGCAACTGATGCCAATTGGTAGAGTTCATTGGTCTGCAAAGATGAAATTTTAATTACAGAAAATACAAACACATCCAGCAATTTTATATAACAAATTTAAGAAAATGGTACCTGTGAAGATAAGCTTATCATCAGCTTAAGTAGCCAAGGAACACAAGTACGAGATGATATAGATAGAACAGCCAAAAATGTAATCAATGTCACCATCCTGGTTCAAGATAGAAAGATGTTATAAACTTAAAACTAATAGATGGATTTGTCACTGATTGAGTCATTTTATAAAAATATAGCAAGAAACATTATAAATATCTTGACTTCAAAACCTCAAGGACAACACATGAACTACCACACATATGATACAAGACTGTTCCATGAGGGAAGAACAAAGACAATTAAAAGAAAACACAAACAACTCACAACTTAGCCATAGATATCACTCCTTGAAGAATACCCGAAGTCCCACCTAGAACTGGAAGCAAAGCAAACAGCAAACCCACAGCACAATCCTGCAAAGCAAAATCTTCTCTACACATACTTAGAAGAGTGACAAATCAGTGCAAAAAGCAGTAATTCGGCATTCACAAAGGAAATTGAAGTCCACAAGAATATGTATATAAAACCAACAAACCTGCAGAATAAGGGTGCCAATGGTAACTTGGCCATGAAGGGCATTAGTAGAGTTTTTCTCCATCAAAAATTTCAACACCTAGAACCACAAAAAAAAACTTGTGAAAACTACGCATCCAACAAAGTTAATAACTAAGAGAGTGAATGTGGATGCAAATCTGCGTGTATTTGGGCATTCATGAGACAGGTTTAAGTTAATTTACCACTGCTGTTGAAGACATAGAAAGGAACACACCAACGAATATCCCTTCGGAAACTTTACCACCACATAACTGCAAACAGCATCCAATCAGAACTGCAGCATTGAGAATGAGAAACATGTATAACACAGTCTATATTAACAGAATATTTAGCTTCAAAATCCATGTCAAGAAAATTTATTAGAACTGCACACTTCTAAATACCAGGTATAGAAAATGAATTACATATGACTTAAAGAATTGAGCATAGAAAGAATGAGAATGCCAAGAAGCAGGAGCCTAAGTTGGAGGTAGTTTTCACATGTAAAATAGGTATAAGAAAGCACCAACTTTAAAGGAAGTTCTCTGGAAAATTAGTAGACATACTGAGGCTGTAATACCACACAGGCACATAAATAGGAAGATTTGCAGCAGGCCTCCTGGAACAGCAACCGCTCGAACAACTCGAAGCTACAAGTATGTAGGGATGAAGTTTGACAAATTTAGCTCAGTTATAAGCGCATCAAAACTGCAGATAGAGAGAGAGAGAGAGA